CCCTGCTTCTTTCCAGAAAAATAGTCCACAGTCTGGGCTGTATCCTCATTAAATACACGAATCAAAACCTGATTGCCTTTCAACTCATTCTCCATTTTATTAAGAATGTCCTTTGACTTGAACTTTTCAAAATGTTGTGCCAACCCAGTAAATTCTTTGTAAAGCGATTAAGAGCTTTGTGTTTTGTAGCTTGCTTTGCCCCATGCAAAGCAAAAATATCTGTGCCAAAATCCTGAAGGTGTTTTGAGGACAACGGGAAGCCTCTCTCTGAGTAACAAATTTCAAAAGCTCAGTGCTCAGTGGAGTAGAGAGACAGTGGCCAGATGTTCTTGGCCCTTCGAAAACGGCTTAATTACAGCCACCTCATGTGCTGGAAAAGGGGTGATCAAGACCCAAGTACTGTCAGCATGCCTCTCCAGCGGGTATCGATCGCCTCAGTTCCATGTGTAGGGACTGCTACAATGGTATCACCTAATTATCAAGCCCATTCACGCAGAACTTACTAATCTTCAGCAACGGGTAGCTGTGGGCAGAGTTCTGAACGCTGAAGTCTTGTTCTTCCAGGGAAGTCAAGAGTGGGACCTGAGTTGACAGGCAGCCGCGTGTTCTGGGCTGCAGTATTTGGAGCCAAGTCTTCGCCAAGTGAGCTGGGAGGAGCTATGGAGTGCTCTTGGTTGAAATACTACAGAGTCTCATGTTGTAAGCAAGCTGAGCAACTGGGCCAGTTGCACGCCGTTTAATGGAAAGACCCAATTCCATTGCAACAGTCTTTTGCAGAGGATTTATTTGTACAGCAGCCAAACAAGGAGACAGGAAACAAATCTCAAATTTGTATTTCCAAACAAAGCCTTTAAACAAGCTTTAAAATTTATATTCATAAATTCTGATTTGGGAAGGTGAAATTGAATAATTTTGGAACTTAACTATTTAAAGTGAGGTATGGGAAAGGGCGAAAGAAAGTACAAAGGAATTTCGCTTCTCTTAGATTCGCTAGAATTTGATTGGTTGAAGTTACACATTCCTTGTGGGGTT